CCTCTAACTGGAAAATTTCAAGCAATATGTTCGCGAGTTCACAGATTATTTCTTTTGCTTAGGACTGTCATTGACATTATTTATTGTATTTGTCACTTTATCCATTACATTCTTCTGCTCCAGAATTTCTGTTTGGTACTCTTTTGCTTTTCATCTCTTTGTTGAACTTCCTGTTTTGTTCATGTATTGTTTTCCAATTTTGTTGAGTTGTGTATGTTTTCTTTGTAGCTAGCTGAATTTCCTTCAAACAGCTGTTTTGAATTCTTTATCAGGTAATTCATAGATCTCTATTTCTTTGAGTTAGTTACTGGAAAATTATTATATTCATTTCATAGTATTGTAGCAGGACGAGCCACAGACAAAACTCAGACACTGGGTTAAAGAAGGAAGCTGCTTATTCAGCCAGAAACTTCTCAGACTTGCGTCTCAAAAGCCGAGCTCCCTGAGTGAGCAATCCCTGTCCCCTTTAAGGGCTTACAACTCTAAGGGGGTCCATGTGAGAGGGTTGTGATCAATTGAGCAAGCAGGGGGTACATGACTGGGGGCTGCATGCACCGGTAAACAGAACAGAACAGGACAGGGATTTTCACAGTGCTTTTCCACACAATGTCTGGAATCTATAGATAACATAACTGGTTAGGTCAGGGGTCGATCTTTAACTACCAGGCCCAGGGCATGGCACCAGGATATCTGCCTGTGGATTCCATTTCTGTCTTTTAGTTTTTACTTCTTCTTTCTTTGGAGGCAGAAATTGGTCATAAGTCAATATGAGGGGTGGTCTCCTCCCTTATTCCCCTCTTTGAGAACCTCACTCATTAGTGGGAGTTCTTACTCTCATCCTTACTACCCATGTCTTCTTGCAAGACTGATTGATAGTGATTCATACAGTACACTTGTGCTAAGGTAGTAACTTTTCATTACTTGAAGGTGCAAAGGCAGCACACATGGAAGCAACAAGTAGGTTAATATTACTATTATAATTCCTATTATAGGAGTTTTAAATTCTCCTAGTGCTGAAAACCATTTTCGAAACGTGGACCTAGGATTAAACCCATGCCACACCTACACGGGCACATGTGGCAGCTTTGTTGTATCTTTATATCTTCAACTACTTGCCCTTGGTCATCTATGTGCAGACAGCAATTGGTCAGGTTAAATTTTTTACAGACCCCTCCTTCAGCTGCTAGCAAGTAGTGTAGGGCTAGTCTATTTTTATAGATAGCATTTCTAATCTGGGTTTCTGTTTGGGCTAAAACAGTTAAAGCTCTGCCAGTTTTATTAGTGATTATTTCTAAGAGAACTTGTAACTGTATGATTCAGTTGAGCATATAAATGGGGGCTCGGTATCCCCACGGGTCATCTTGTGCCCAAATGGCAGGCCCATAGTACTGTATGATTTTTTTAGGGGGCCACTCGTCATCTTTCCAGTCACCTATAGCTATGCTTCTCTTTTCTCAGGAAGCATAGACAGGGAAGCCTAGGAGCTCACCTGTTTTTATGGGCAGTAGGAAAAAAGATGGTTTAATGGTGCCAATAACACAACTACCTGCCCATTGGTCAGGTAACTTGGCATAGGCTTTATGCCCACATATGTGGCATAATCCAGTGGGGGCTGTCCAGTCCCAATGGGACTCCAGGTGGGTCCACATGGTTTGCAACTTTGGAAATTTACTAAATGGATTTCTTTTAGTGTGGTTTGAACTTCACCAGGTGGCTGTTTTGTAGTACTGTTACACAGTTTTTGCCCAAGGCAGCTGAGTCTTCCCACAGGAACAGTGAAGTCTTTCCTCACCCTTGCTATATGATATTGCCTAATAATTGAGGTTTTTCAGAATCCAGAAGTTGCCAGTCTTTAATCTTATTGCCAGTCTTTAAACCAGCTGGTGCTGGTTTACCGGAAATTCTAGGGGTGGTACACGTGCTAAGCCAAGTTTATAATTTTTAAGAAATTGACCTTTTGTTTTAAATGTGGGGACATCAGCAGTGGACTTTATAGTCATTGATGCCTTTTTACTGAGTAATTTCCTTTAGCACCTATTTTTATTAGTTTTTAGACCAAAGAAATCCAAACACCATTTTATACTTTACAGTGCTTTCTGCATGATTTTTATACCAGATAAGCTAAATTTCACCTTTATATTAGTGTGTTATTAATGTTAAACTCAGTTTTAATAAAATCTTATAGACATATTTATTCAATTTTTAATGTCGGACCATAAGGTAAGATTTTTATAGACTCTTTTTAACCTTTTATAATTTTTGTTAAAGAGCAGGTTAGTGCTTTAAGAAAAACCCATTGTGTTTTTATTTTAATGTTCAGTTCACAGAAAAACTGGATGATACCCATTTAACTTTAGCCAATATGTTTACACACAGAATTTTCTTTACAATTAATGTTTTAAAACTTGCTTAAACTCCATCCTGGCTAACACGGTGAAACCCCATCTCTACTAAAAATACAAAAAAAAAAAAAAAAATTAGCCAGGCATGGTGGCGGGTGCCTGTAGTCCCAGCTACTCAGGAGGCTGAGGCAGGAGAATGGCGTGAACCCAGGACACAGAGCTTGCAGTGAGCCAAGATCCCACCACTGCATTCTAGCCTGGGTGACAGAGCAAGACTCCTTAAAAGAAACAAAACAAAACAAAACTTGCTTAAACCTTCAAAACAAAAAATTTTTTTTTTTACATTTTAATGTAGGTAAAAATCCACATTGTTATGCCACCTTATAATCCTTTTACCAGAGGTATGTTTTACTTTCCTTATACACCTTGCACATAAGCTGTTTCTTCAATAGTTTTACATTCAGGAGACCTAATTACTTTTAAATCATACAACATTTCTTGCATAAATTCTTTTTTTATAAGTTTTTTTCACGACTTTCGCAGACAATTCCTCGACATGCCTCAACTTCCTTATTACAAACATTTCTTTCTTTAAACAACCAGTTAATTTATTTCAGAACAAGAATTTACCATATAACATTCTTTTTACATAAATTCTGCCCCCACCTTTTTTTCCTTTTTTTGAAGATGATAATCATTCTTTTCCAAAGCAAACTTCCTTTACGTCTGTGGACTAGACTGTCTAAGGCCACAAGATTAGAAGTTACTATAATACATGTTACACTGTTAACTTTAGCAAACTTTACTTTTGTTAAAAACCTTGTAAGTTTGGGATTTCAATTATCCTTTGCTATTAATAAGACTTTGTTTAGTTCAAATTAACTTAGAATTGGTATAGATGGCTTCCCCCCTCTTTCAATTACCCAGGAGGAACCATCTATTGTCCTGTCCTGAAGGGAGTTTCTCCTAGGTCTGGTCAGACCTTTGTATGGTAATTAAGATTTAGATCCCCTGCTAAGAAACCTGCTGGGTTAAGGGAATTTTCAGTGGTTAATGTTAAATCATCTTTTTTTTTTTTTTTTTTTAACAGAATAACCCTATATTTTAAGATTTTTAAGTTAGTAAGCTACCTTTTTGCCTTTTTTGTTCGTTTGTTTGTCTTTGTTTTTTACTTAGGATGCTTTTGAACTTGTGAGGTGTGTTCACAATGAGGTTTCCTCTAAAAGTTATTTTTCTACTTTCTTCTGTTAGCAAAGCAGTTGCTGCTATAGATTGAATGCATTTGGGCCATCCATGGGTTACTGGGTTAAGGATTTTTGATAGGAAGGCTATTGGTTATCAGTGGCCTCAGTGCTTTTGGGATACGCCATTGTTTACACTGACAACAAAGTGGTATTAGGGTGTTACAGGGTTACAGAGAATACCTTTAGTTATCAATTATGGGTTTTAAATTTACCTTAGCTTTCAAAGGAATAGAGTACACTGTTTTTTTTTTTTTTCTTAACTACTTGTATATCTCTCTCTTGCTTTCTTTCTTTCTCTCTTTGACTTTCAGTCTCTCTCTCTTTTTTGAATTTCCTTTTGACTCTGTCTCTTCTCTCTCTGCCTCTCTCTTTCTCTCTCTCTTTTTTTTTTTTTTTTTTTGTGAGGCAGAGTCTTGCTCTGTTGCCCAGGCTGGAGTGCAGTGGCATCATCTCGGCTCACTGCAACCACCACCTTCCAGGTTCAAGCAATTCTCCCACCTCAGCCTCCCAAGGAGCTGGGATTATAGGCACTTGCCACCACGCACAGCTAATTTTTGTATTTTTAATAGAGACGGGGTTTCGTCATGTAGGCCAGGCTGGTCTCAAACTCCTGACCTCAGGTGATCTGCCCACCTCAGCCTCCCAAAGTGCTAGGATTACAGATGTGAGTCACCACACCTGGCTTCTCTCTCTCTTTCTCTCTCTCCTTGATTCCCTTTCTGTCTCTCTGTCTCTTCCTCTCTATCTCTTCTTCTCTCTCTTTGCCTCTTTTCCTGTCTCTTTCCTCTCTCTGTCTCTGCTGGTCCTTCCTTGTCTCTGCCAGCCACGTATGCTGCTGTTCTCTCAAGCAGGGGTGGGGGGGGATCTAAAACCAGCTGTAACCAAGTATCTATGTACGGTAACTGGTCTGCGTGCCCTGGCTTACAGGTTACCTTGTGCTATACCTTTGAAACAAGATACCTGTCCAGGCTTCTTTCTGATGGCCAACCCACCTGTAATGCTGGCCAGCCTATTTCACACAAAGTTCTAAGTTTTCCTGATGTCATAGTAACACTGTAATCTCCCTTAAATCCTTTCTTGAAATTTTCGACATAGTTCCTAGTGGTGTGGGCTTACTTTGTGACTGACCCATGCTTCCTCGAGACAAAACACCACACTAACACCACACACACACCACAAAACAAAGAACGGGTAAAAAGGGCACACACACACTTTTACAGTTTACACCAAACCAGAATCAAAACCAAAATCAGAGTATCAAGAAATCCAAACCAGGTCAACACCAAAACCAAAGTATCAAGCAATCCAAGTCAAGTCAAAAACAAAAACCAAAGTGCTGGTATAGGCACACCGTGGGTGATCAGGCCACACTTCCATTCAAATGGAGTGGGCAAGTTCCAAAGGCCAGACTTACCAAGTTTCAGATGTCCGGACTCCAAGTGTCAACTCCTTCCCGGTGTTCAGCGACTGTGTTGATCCTCACGGGGGTCTGCCATATACTGCTCTGGCGAGGCGTCCTACCGGGGCAATTGCCTACCTGGGAGCACTCTTTGGATCCACATCACTCAGGCTGGTCAGAGTCCCCTGCAGGTATGCTTCATAGGGCAGGCCTAAGTTGCCTAAGGGGCTGCCTCTACCGTCCACCAATCACCTCGCTTCCCAGTCGGGGAACCAAGAAATGTAGCAAGATGAGCCATAGACAAAACTCAGACGCTGGGTTAAATGAGGAAGGAGCTTTGTTCAGCAGGGAATTTCAGCAGACTTGCGTCTCAAAAGCTGAGCTCCCCAAGTGAGAAATTCCTGTCCCTTTTAAGGGCTTAAACTCTAAGGGGTTCCACGTGAGAGGGCTGTGATCAATTGAGCAAGCAGGGGGTATGTGACTGGGGGCTGCATGCATTTGTAATTGGAACGGAACAGAACAGGACAGGGATTTTCACAATGCTTTTCCATACAATGTCTGGAATCTACAGATAACATAACCGGTTAGGTCAGGGGTTGATCTTTAACTACCAGGCCTAGGGCGTGGCACCAGCAGTGCTGGGCTGTCTGCCTGTGGATTTCATTTCTGCCTTTTAGTTTTTACTTCTTCTTTTTTTGGATGTAGAAATTGGGGATAAGACAATATGAGGGGTGGTCTCCTCCGTTAGTATCATGTTTCCTTGATTTTTCTTTTCTTTTTTTTTTGAGACAGAGTCTTGCTCTGTCACCCAGGCTGGAGTGCAGTGGTGCAATCTCGGCTCACTGCAAGCTCCACCTCCCGGGTTCACGCCATTCTCCTGCGTCAGCCTCTTGAGTAGCTGGGACTGCAGGCGCCCACCACCATGCCTGACTAATTTATTGTATTTTCAGTAGAGACAGGGTTTCACCGTGTTAGCCAGGATAGTCTCGATCTCCTGACCTTGTGATCTGCCCACCTCGGCCTCCCAAAGTGCTGGGATTACAGGTGTGAACCACTGCGCCCAGCCCTTGATTTTTCAATTACATTAGGATCTTGCATTGTTGTTTTTGTTTGTTTGTTTTGTTTTGTTTTTGCTTTTCATTTGAAGACACAATCGTCCTCTCCAGTCTCTGCTAACTTTGGGAGAGAAATACCTGCACTATTAGGCCAGAATAGGGATTCTGAGGTTTTCTCAGTCCTTTCCTATTAATGGGTCTGGTTCACACTTCTTGTTACCACTTGTGGAGGCGGAGATTCCTAAGATTGTATGCCTTCTCTTGATCTTTTTTTTTAAGGCTGTTCTCTGAAATGGTCAAGTTTATGTGCCTTGTCCCAATCTCACAGAGTTAGGATGGCTTTCTGCACATGGTCATGGGTCATCTGCCGAGGTTTGTACTTGTGTTTGTGGTGTGATACATAAGGACCATGGGGTGGAGAAGAGTGGGACATGCAAAGTGTTTAGGGTGCCTGTGAGCAAGCTGAGGGATTCTGTAACCAAAGCATTTCCAGTAACCCATAGGAGGGCTTCCTGATGGAATCTGCCAAGCAAGGGAACTAGTAAGATCCATGGTCCTTTATTGAGTTCTGAGCCCTGGTTAATGCGAATCCCCAGCTCTCTTCCTTGCTCCCAACTTTCTGAACTTTTTGGCTGTGCCAGTCACCTCAGTATTCTGTGTGAGGTAAGAAAGAGGTGGACCTCTCAAGTAGCACTCTTCATGACTGGATAAGCCAGGTACTTGCTTCCTATGCATTCACTTTCCCCTATAGGAGAAATTGCAGGCTGAAGGAGTCTCTCTTGGCACTAAACTGTGCTGCCTTGGGGGAAAGGTGACACAGTTTAAGTGAAATTGTTCTTCTTACCCTCTTCAATGCATCTATTATCAGACTTTTTGCTCCACAGTGTACTAGAACTTCTCTGCTGGACTCTCAGACTCCCACAAAGGTACTGTCACCTAGGGGTAGTTGTCAAAATCAATGCTTCTGTGTGAAGATGATGGCAGAAAGCCCCTATCCTGGCATGTTGAATGAATTCAATCCTTTCAAAGCTTGCCTTTATGCTTTGTTAGTTGGATCCAGAACAATCTTTAGCCTAGAACTAGTTCTGGCTGCTGCTTTACCTGATCCATTCTGGTGGTCTTCCCCACACTTCATGTAATTTTCCCATAGATATTGCTATGGACTGAATGCTTGTGTCCCCCTCAAAGTTCATACAGTGAAAACCTAAACCTTAATGTAATGGTATTCATTGATAAGGCCTTTGGGAAGTAATTAGGGTTAGATTAGTTCGTAAGAATGGGGCCCTCATCATGAAATTAATGCCCTTATAAAAAGAGGAGGAATTGTTACTTCTGCCTCTCTATATGCAAGTAACAAGGAAGGTCATGTGAGGACATAACCAGGAAGAGGGTCCTCATCAAGATCCTGACCGTGCCAGCACCCTGATCTCAAACTGCCAGCCTCCAGAATTGTGGGAAATAAGTGTTTGTTGTTTAAGCTTCCCAGTGTATATTACAGCAGGCCAAGCTGACTAAGGCACACATAAACTGATTGATACTAAGCTAAACTCTCAAGGGGAGCCCTCTGCAGATCTTCAGGGTCCTCCCGATGTGGCTCATTACTCTTTGGCCCTGCCCCACAAATCCTAGCTCCTTTGACCTCTTCAGACTCTGTACTCTGGGTGCTCCTTCCATGAGCTACAGCTGAGAAATTCTCTCCTGGCAGTAAGCTGGCAACATTAGAGTTCCCCTTATTTTATTTTCCTTCTCTATGTTGCCCATTGTCCAATGCCTGAAAATTGTTATTTTGTATATTTTGTCTAGTAATATGGTTGTTTAGGGAGGAGGCTGAATCTGGGCTCTGTTGCTTCCTCATAGCCAGGAGCAGATGTCTTATAACATGTTAGTAAAGTTTGTCTACATTATAGACTCTCAGGATGTGCTTCAATATCTGGTAGGGAAAGTCTTCCCTCATTTTTCTTATTATTTCAACATTTTCTTGGCCACCTGAGTCCATTTCTCTTTTCCATGATTGTCTAGCCAGCTTACTAAATTTCCTTAAAAAGTCCTGTTAGGATTTGGATTGAAATTGAATTAAATTATATACTAACATGAAACATGACTGATAGTCTTATATTTTCATATACCTTGTCCTTGGATGAGAAAAGTTAGCATAAAAAAAAACCAAAGGTCAAGATGGGCGGATAGCCTGAAGTCAGGTGTTCGAGACCAGCCTGGCCAACATGGTGAAACCCCATTTCTACTAATAATACCAGACGTGGTGGCGGGCACCTATAATCCCAGCTACTCGGGAGGCTGAGGCAGGAGAATCACTTGAACCTGGGAGGCAGGTGGAGGTTGCAGTAAGCAGAGATGATGCCACTGCACTCTAGCCTAGGCAAAAGAGTGAGACTTGGTTTCAAAAAATAAAATAAAATAAATAAAATAAAATGAAACTGAAGAGCCAACTCAGGACATGCTGGCTAATTGAAGACTGAGAAGGAGCTGAATGAGATGGCAACTCCACTGGATGAAAATATTAAAATTCAAAAGAGCAAGGAGGGAGAGTGGTCTCTGGGATAGTTTGTTAAATGAGAATACGAGAAGGAGAGAAGCATATACTGTTTCCTACCATTTAATTAAGAAAGAAGAGATACACATACAAATACATACTACGTATGTATATACATGTGCATAAATCTGTATCTACTTATATTTAAAAATGGAACTCCTGGCACAGTGGCTCACGCCTGTAATTCCAGCACTTTGGGAGGCCAAGGCGGGTGGATCATGAGGTCAGGAATTTGAGACCAGCCTGGCCAACACAGTTAAACCTCATCTCTACTAAAAAACAAAAATTAGCCGGGCATGGTGGCATGCGCCTGTAGTCCCAGCTACTCAGGAGGCTGAGGCAGGAGAATCACTTGAACCCTGGAGGCGGAGGTTGTGGTGGGCTGAGATGGTGCCACTGCACTCTAGCCTGGGCAACAGAGGGAGATTCCATCTCAAAATAAATAAATAAATAAAAATGGAAAGTAACTATAGAAGCAGCTTTGAATGACTTTATTGGGAAGTAACAGAGACAGAAGCTGGACTTTTCTGGATATATCTTGCTTATAGATTACCCTTTAAAACTATATATATATTACAAAATCATATAACAAAGTTATTATTATTATTACTTTGTAGAGACAGAGTCTCGCCATGTTGCCTAGGCTAGTCTCAAACTCTTGAGCTCAAGTGATCCTCCTGCCTCAGCCTCCCAAAGTGCTGGGATTACAGAGCCACTGTGCCTGGCCAGTAAAGTTAAATTTTAAAAAAGCAATCCCTTAAAATGGAAAGTAAAATAAAGCAAATGAACCCAACACAACTGGAATTAGGTTGGTGGCACAGTCACACAGAGAGAACCTATTTAGAGCAACTTGAAAGCACAGTAATTTGATAGCTCATCCCTAGTGGGATACTCCCTCAGGGCAAAAAGAATTGCAAAAAAATATCTTAAGCTGCTCAGAAATCTCATGTTTCCGAACTAGTATGAAAATCATTATTTTGAGACTGTAGTGTATACAGAGAGGTTTAAAGTCAACAAGTCATTCTGCAAGTTTTCAGTGTGGGAGAAAAAATATCGATGGGTTAGACAAAAACCCTGTAGTGGACCTGCAACTGTTAGTATAAAGTCACGACATACGTAATCTTATAAACAAATACCATTTTCTACTCTGTCTACTGAAAAAGCTCAGAAACGATAACTAAGCCCATAATGCCAAATGCATCAATGGTGTTCCCAAATACCATTTTCCCTGGAAGACAGCAGGGTCCCTTGCATTACAGCCTTGACAGGTCTAGGGCAGGAAACACACAGCCTACCCTAAGTACCTCAGCTTTCTTTTCTCTGGTTTGACCCCAAAGGTCCCAGGGATGTGTCCAAAGAGTCCAAGATCCAATCTGAAGAAGTTCTCTCCCATAGGCCAATGAAACAAAAAATAATAGCTATCATAGACAAAAAACAAATACGTATGTTGATATCCACTAGTTTATAATGAAACACACCAACAAAATAAAACACAGTAGTCCCTGTTATAGGATTCTGGGAAACCAATTCATCTGAAATGAGTTCCTTATCTTATCTCCTGCATGACCTGCACCTCTAGGTACCAGATGGTTGAAGAGGACATTGCATCATTGTGGAAGAAACTTCTAAAGCTGCTTCAGTTAACAATGAGAAGGAATCATGGAGTCAAAATATCACCACTGTGCAAGTCCTAACAAATCAGTGGATATAGGTGTGCTAAACAACAAAGAGAGACGATCAGACTTCCCATGTCACATTCTATGACAAATATTGGCCCGAAAATTGAATCTGAGTCTGATCAAAGCGCTAGATCTAACCACCAACATTCAGGAACTACAGGAGACAGAAGAATACATTAAATGACACCATAGAGGTACACTTATCAAAATTCGGGTTAGGAAAATGCTGCTGGACAGCCT